GATGGTGATAGTGGTGGTGGTGGTGGTGGTGGTGGTGGTGATGATGGTGGTGATGGTGGTGGTGGTGATGGTGGTGGTGGTGGTGGTGGTGATGGTGGTGTGTGATGGTGGTGGTGGTGATGGTGGTGATAGGTGGTGATGGTGGTGGTGGTGGTGGTGGTGGTGATGGTGGTGATGGTGGTGGTGGTGGTGGTGGTGGTGGGTGGTGGTGGTGATAGTGGTGGTGGTGGTGATGGTGGTGGTCGTGGTGGTGGTCGTGGTGGTGGTGATGGTGGTGGTGGTGGTGATGGTGGTGGTCGTGGTGGTGGTGGTGATGGTGGTGGTGGTGGTGGTGATGGTGGTGGTGATGGTGGTGGTGATGGTGGTGATGGTGGTGGTGATGGTGGTGGTGGTGGTGGTGGTGATGGTGGTGGTGGTGGTGGTGGTGGTGGTGAGTGTTCCTGCTATAATAATGTATTAACCAGCCGAGTCGTCCACCTACACACTCCATCCTGCTTAGCGTCTGCACCTGATGCTTCTTCCTACTTACTGCTTCTGGCCATTGTAATTGTTATTATTGTTGTTATTATTGTTGTTATTATTGTTGTTATTGTTATTATTGTTGTTTTTATTGTTGCCATTGTTATTGTTCTTGTTCTTGTTATTGTTGTCATTGTTATTTTTGTTATTGTTATTATTGTTGTTATTGTTGTTGCCATTGTTATTGTTGTTGTTATTATTGTTGTTATTATTGTTGTTATTGTTATTATTGTTGTCATTGTTATTTTTGTTATTGTTATTTTTGTTGTTATTGTTATTATTGTTGTTATTGTTGTTGTTGTTTGTATGTAAACAATTACATGTTCCGTTTATTTATTTTGTCATTTTTTGTATTAATTAAAACTTGTTGATATAGTGAGGTCGATGTTTTATCACAATAATGGTTTAAGAACTTGATGATGGTTTGACTTATTGGTAATGGTTTAATATTGGCTTAAACCATTATTCTTCAAGTATTTATATTCATTTATGGTCGATGGTTTAATCTGATGATCGTGATGATGGTTTTAAATCAGTGTCTTATATTGAGAAATTATTCTTGGACGATGGTTTATCCTTTTATGATGACTTAAACCCTGATCTTAAACCAGGTCCTAAGCCATCGTCCTGGGTTTAAATAATTACGCCTAGACGCTGATTTAACCCTTCGATTGGAGGAGCAAACCCAGATCTTAAACCATCGTCCGTAAAGTGGTTCATAATACGTTAAACCTAAACCATAAAACAATATCATTAATTATGCCCCACACCTGTGCTTTGACCAGTTAATTAGGCCCCACACCTGTACTGACCAGACACTAGGCCCCACACCTGTACTTGACCCGGATAATTAGGCCCCACACCTGTACTTGATCAGGTTAATTAGGCCCCACACCTGTATTTCCTGATTGAAGACTAGGCCCCACACCTGCACTTGACCAGGTTAATTAGGCCCCACACCTGTACTTCTGATGAAGCAATTAGGCCCCACACCTGTACTGGACCAGGATAATGGGCCCCACACCTGTACTGCACCAGGATACAGGGCCCCACACCTGTACTGCACCAGGATAATTAGGCCCCACACCTGTACTTGACCAGAATAATTAGGGCCCCACACCTGTGCACCAGGATTACTAGGCCTCACACCTGTACGTGAGCAGGCTAATTTGGGCCGCACACCTGTACTTGACCAGGTTAGTTAGCGTCACCTGAACATTAGCTTACTTGGTGATGGGGCCCACCTGACCTCCGACCTGGTGACAACACTTGACCTCCGACCTGGTGATGGGGGCCTACTTGACCTCCGACCTGGTGATGGGGCCCACTTGACCTCTGACTTGGTGATGGGGCCCACCTGACCGCTGACCTGGTGATGGGGCCCACTTCACCTCTGACATTGGTTATGGGGCCCACCTGACCTCCGACCTGGTGATGGGGCCCACTTAACCTCTGACCTGGTGATGGGGCCCACCTGACCTTCGACCCAGTGATGGGGCCCACTTAACCTCTGACCTGGTGATGGGGCCCTCACCCCTGACCTGGTGATGGGGCCCACCTGACCTCTGACCTAGTGATGGGGCCCACCTGACCTCTGACTCCAGTGATGGGGCCCACCTGACCTCTGACCTGGTGATGGGGCCCTGACCTCTGACCCAGTGATGGGGCCCTCTTGACCTCTGACCTAGTGATGGGGCCCACTTAACCCCTGACCTAGTGATGGGGACCCTTGACCCTGACCTAGTGATGGGGCCCTTGACCTCTGACCTGGTGATGGGCCCTAACTTCGACCTGGCGATGCGGCCCACTTGACCTCTGATCTGGTGATGGGGCCCTTGACCTCTGATCTAATGATGGGCCCCTTGACCTCTGACCCAGTGATGGGGCCCTTGGCCTCTGACCCAGTGATGGCTCTTGACCTCTGACCTGGTGATGGGCCCACTTGACCTCTGACCTGGTGATGGGCCTCTTGACCTCTGACCTGGTGATGGGGCCCTTAACCTCTGACCTGGTGATGGGCCCACTTGACCTCTGACCGGTGATGGGGCCCTCTTGACCTCTGATATGAGGATGGGGCCCTCTGACCTCTGACCTGTGATGGGCCCACTTGACCTCTGACCTGGTGAGATGGGGCTCCTGACCTCTGGATCCTGGTGATGGGGCCCCTTGACTCTTGACCTGGTGATGGGGCCCTCTGACCCCTGACCTGGTGATGGGGCCCACTTGACCTCTGACCTGGTGATGGGGCCCTCTGACCTCTGGACCTGGTGATGGGTCTTGGACTCTGACCTGGTGATGGGGCCCTGACCCTGACCTGGTGATGGGGGCCTCTGACCTCTGGACCTGGTGATGGGGCCCCTTGACCTCTGGACCTGGTGATGGGCCCTTTGACCTCTGACCTGGTGATGGGGCCCACTTGACCTCTGGACCTGGTGATGGGGCCTCTTGACCTCTGACCTGGTGATGGGGCCCACTTGACATCTGGACCTGGTGATGGGGCCCTCTTGACCTCGACCTGGTGATGGGGCCCTTGACCTCTGACCTGGTGATGGAGGAGCAGCTGAGGTGTTAAATGTCTCGTGCCTCCTCCTCCTCCACCCTCTCTTCCTCCTCCTCCACCCCTCTTCCTCCTCCTCCACCCCTCTCTTCCTCCACTCCCTCCTCTTCCTCCCCCTCCTCCACCCTCTCTTCCTCCCTCCTCCTCCACCCCTCTTCCTTCTCCTCCACCTCTTCCTCCTCCTCCTCCACCTCTTCCTCCTCCTCCTCCACCCTCTTCTCCTCCTCCTCCTCCACCTCCACCCTCTTCCTCCTCCTCCACCTCTTCCTCCTCCTCCACCTTCCTTCCTCCTCCACACCTCTTCCTCCTCCTCCATCTCTTCCTCCTCCACCACCTCTTTCCTCCTTCCTCCACCTCTCTCCTCCACCACCTCTTCTCCTCCTCCTCCACCTCTCTCTTCCTTCCTCCACCTCTTCTCCTCCTCCTCCACCCTCTCTTCCTCCTCCTCCTCCTCCTCCTCCACCTCTTCCTCCTCCACTCCTCCACTCCTCCTCTTTCCTCCTCCTCCACCCTCTTTCCTCCTCCTCCACTCCTCCTCCTCCACCTCCTCCTCCTCCCCTCTCTCCTCCACCTCCTCCTCTCTCCTCCTCCCTCCACCCTCTCTTCCTCCTCCACCTCTTCCTCCTCCTCCACCTCTCCTCCACCTCCTCTCTCTTCTCCTCCACCACCTCCTCCTCCTCCACCCTCCTCCACCACCCTCTCTTCCTCCTCCTCCTCCTTTCTCCTCCACCCTCTCTTCCTCCTCCTCCTCCACCCTCTCTTCCTCCTCCTCCTCCACCCTCTCTTCCTCCTCCTCCTCCTCCTCCACTCTCCTCCTCCTCCTCCCACCTCTCTTCCTCCTCCTCCTCCACCTCCTCCTCCTCCTCCTCCACCTCTCTTCTCCTCCTCCTCCACCCTCTCTTCCTCCTCCACCTTCTTCCTCCACCTCTCTTTCTTCCTCCTCCACCTCTTCTCCTCCTCCTCCACCTCTCCCCTCCTCCACCCTCTCTTCCTCCTCTTCTATTTCACTTGTTTTAATTGATTCCGGTGTAGGAGGACTGGGACTAGGAGCACTGTGGACTAGTGTGAGTGACCTGTGGACCAGTGTGAGTGACCTGTGGACTAGTGTGAGTGACAGGTGGACCAGGAGAGTGACGGTTGGACTGGTGTGAGTGACAGGTGGACTGGTGTGAGGACTGTGGACTAGTGTGAGGACTCTGGACTAGTGTGAGTGACTCTGGACTAGTGGAGTGACCTCAGGACCAGTGTGAGTGACCTCGTGGACTAGTGAGTGACCTGTGGACTCTGTGTGAGTGTTCCTGTGGACTGGTGAGTGACTCGTGGACTGGTGAGGACTGGTGGACTGGTGAGTGACTGGGTGGGACTGGTGTGAGTGACTGGTGGACTAGTGTGAGTGATCAGGACTAGTGTGAGGATCAGGACCAGGTGGAGTGACCCGGGGACTAGTGAGGACTCTGGACATGTGAGTGACTGGTGGACTAGTGTGAGTGACTCTGGACTAGTGTGAGTGACTCGGACTAGTGTGGGTGACTGTGGACTAGTGTGGTGACTGTGGACTAGTGTGGGTGACTTGTGGACTAGTGTGGACTCTGGACTAGTGTGAGTGACCTGTGACCAGTGTGAGTGACTCGTGGACTAGTGTGAGTGACTGGTGGACTAGTGTGAGTGACTCGTACCAGTGAGTGACTCGTGGACCAGTGTGGAGGACTGGTGGACTAGCTGTGAGTGACTTGTGGACTAGTGTGAGGACTCTGGACTAGTGTGAGTGACTGTGGACTAGTGGAGTGACTGGTGGACTAGTGTGAGTGATCTGGACTAGTGTGAGTGCTGTGGATTAGTGTGGAGCACTTGACTAGGTGTGAGGACTCGTGGACCAGTGTGAGTGACCTGTGGACTAGTGTGAGTGACTCGTGGACTAGTGTGAGTGACTCTGTGGACTAGTGTGAGTGACTCGTGGACTATAGTGTGAGTGACTCGTGGACTAGTGTGAGTGACCTCGTGGACCAGTGTGAGTGACTCGTGGACTAGTGAGTGACTGGTGGATTAGGTGTGAGTGACTCGTGGACTAGTGTGAGTGATCTGGACTAGGTGAGTGGTCTAACCTGAGTGAGTCTATAGCTTAGCGTGTGGATAAAATGGTGTGTGTGTGTGTGTGTGTGTGTGTGTGTGTGTGTGTGTGTGTGTGTGTGTGTGTGTGTGTGTGTGTGTGTGTGTGTGTGTGTGTGTGTCTGTCCTCTCTTCTCTTAAGGAAAAATTACGTATGAACATAACCTATCCTGACCTAACCTAACATATCCCAACCTATCCTGACCCACTTAACCTGACCCACCTATCCCTGACCTAACCTAACCTGACCTTCCCTATCCTGACCAAACCCAACCTATCCCCGACCTAACATAACCCAACCCAACCTATCCCGACCTAACCTAACCTAACCCTACCTATCCCAACCTGTCCCAACCTATCCTGACTTAACCTAACCCTGACCCAACCTATCCCGACCCAACCCATCCTGACCCAACCAACCTATCCCAACTCCAACCCATCCTGACCTAACCTAACCTATTCTGACCTAACCCAACCCTGACCTAACCCAACCTAACCTGACCCATCCTAACCCACCTAACCCCACCCATCCAAATCCATCCTAACCCATCCTAACCCAACCCATCCCAACCTAACCCAACCATCCTAACCCCATCCCAACCCAACCCAACCTATCCCAACCCAACCTTACCTATCCCAACCCATCCCATCCCAACCCATCCCAACCATCCTCATCCCAACTCATCCCAACCACCATCCCAAACCAACCTATCCCAACCCAACCTATCCCAACCCAACCTATCCCAGCCCAACCTATCCCAACCCCTGAGAACTGGCCAGGAGGACTGAGGTGTAAGGAGAAAATGGTGTTGGACGGAGGGTAGTGTGTGTGTGTGGGGGTGGTTGGGGGTTGTGTGTGAGTGTGGGTGGGGTGTGGTGGGGTGTGTGTGGGCGGGCGGGCGGGCGTGTGTGGGTGGGTGGGTGGGGGTGTGTGTGTGTGTGTGTGTGGGTGGGTGGTGGGTGGGCGGGGGGTGTGTGTGTGTGTGTGGGTGTGTGTGTGTGTGTGTGTGGGTGGGTGGGCGGTGTGTGTGTGTGTGTGTGTGTGTGTGTGTGTGTGTGTGTCGCGTCTCACAACACCAGCGAGACAGTGTTACCAATCGTGGTGTAAACATTCCAGACAAAGGTACCAACACTGTTACTAATAATTGCAGGGTCCTAACACACGTCACCGTCAATATTTACAATAGAACCACAACCACGTTAACAATATTGGTAACACTGACACAGGAAGTATTCACCAGCTGCTGTGTTATAACAGAACCCCCCCAGCCTAGTCACCACAATTACCAGCTTAAGGACACTGCAGCGTATTAATGATGATGTTTGGTAACTTGTTCCACTCTCTTCCACTACTCTATTTCCAAACCAATGTTTACCTATTTGCGCCTCAATCTGAATTTGTCTAATTTAACACCATTGTTACGAGTTCGCTCCTGGTTGATAGTTTGAGTACCTCGTTATATCACCTTGTTCTGAGCTGACTCCATTTATTCACCTCTATCATATGCCCCTCACTCTACTGCCCTCTCGGAGTGCAAATTAAGATGCTTAACCTGTCTCTGTACTCAAGGTTCCTAATGCTGGACTGGGGTCTTTGTCATTCTGTAGCACGTGACCAGAACTGAGCTGCGTCATCCAAGTGTGGGGGAGGAGGAGGAGGAGGAGGGAGGAGGGGAGGAGGAGTGAGGAGGGGAGGGGAGGAGGAGGGAGGTAGTAGGGAGGGAGGAGGAGGAGGGAGGTAGTAGAGGAGGGAGGAGGGAGGTGAGGAGGAGGAGGGGAGGGTGGAGGTAGTGGAGGGAGGAGTGAGGGAGTAGGGAGGAGGGAGGAGGGGAGTAGGAGGAGGAGGAGGTAGTAGGGGAGGGAGGAGGAGGGAGTAGGGGAGGAGAGAGGGAGGGAGGAGCAGGGAGAGGAGGGGTGGGAGGAGGAGGAGGGAGGAGGAGAGGGGAGTAGGGAGGAGGAGGAAGTAGGGAGGGAGAGAGTAGGGGAGGGAGGAGGAGGTAGAGGGAGGAGGAGGAGGGAGAAGGAGGAGAGGGAGAGGGAGGAGAGGTAGGTAGGAGGAGGAGGGAGAGGGGAGGAGGAAGGAGGGAGGGGAGGAGGAGGAGGAGCAGGGGAGGGAGGGAGGAGGTAGTAGGGGAGGGGAGGAGGAGGGAGAGGGGAGGAGGGAGTGGAGGGGAGGGAGGGGAGGAGGGAGGGGGGGAGGGAGGGAGGAGGAGGGAGGGGAGGAGGAGGGAGGTAGTAGGGAGGAGGAGGAGGGAGTAGGGAGGGAGGAGGAGGTAGTAGGGAGGAGGAGGAGGTAGTAGGGAGGAGGAGTAGAAGGGAGGAGGAGCAGGGGTAGTAGGGAGGAGGAGGAGGGGAGGAGGAGGAGGAGGGAGTAGGGAGGAGAGCAGAGGAGAGAGAAGAGAGGAGGAGGAGAGGAGGAGGAGGTAGTAGAGGAGAGGAGGGTAGAGGAGGGAGTAGGGGAGAGGAGGAGGAGGAGGTAGGGAGGAGAGGTAGGAGGAGGAGGGAGGTAGGAGGGAGGAGGAGGTAGTAGGGAGGAGGAGGAGGGAGGGAGGAGGGGAGGAGGAGGGGAGGGAGGAGTGAGGGAGGAGGAGGAGAGGGAGTAGGGAGGAGGGAGGGAGGGAGGGGAGGAGGAGGAGGGAGAGGAGGAGGAGTGAGGAGTAGGGGAGGAGGAGTAGGAGGAGGTAGTAGGGAGGAGGAGGAGGGACTAGGAGGAGGAAGTGAGGTAGGAGGAGGAGGAGGGAGGAGGTAGTAGGGAGGAGGAGGAGGGAGTAGGGAGGAGGAGGAGGTAGTAGGGAGGAGGAGTGAGGGGAGTAGGGAG